GACATTCTTATCTTGTTAGTTTCAGTTGTTGTCCATTTAGTATGATGTTGACTGTTGGCTTGTCATAAATGGTTTTTGTCAGGTTGAGGTAAAGACCATGTATTTCGATTTTCTATGAGGTTTTTATCATGAATGAATGTTTTGATGACTACAGTTGTGAACATTGTTCAGTAGTATTCATAGTAATGATTTTCCGGATTGGTCTGTAGTCTTCAATAAGTGTAAGAAGTTAGCATATGAAGTGTCTGTTGAAACAGTAAGAATGTGATGACCCATTCATCATTCTCAGGACTGTTGGTCTCCTGGATGTATTTACTCCAAATAACCTCAACTCCTTGTGTCACAAGGCCTAACTCATGTTCACCTCAGTCACTTCCTTTGGAAAAAACACCCAAAGTTAGATATAGTGGCAATAAAGGGCATTTTTCATACCAAGTATTGGTGGGCAACAGGTGGCTTCTGGTTCAGGATGTGTCACACAGGCCTTCTTGAGTTCTAAGCCCACTGGCCTAATGAATCTTTCGTATTTAGGTAGTTTTCTTGTAAAGCCACAAGGCAGACTTTAGTGACCATCCTATCCCACCCTTTCTCCAGTTTGAATAACTTTAAATACTTCTGGTTCCCCCTGGGCACGAACTTGGGCAGAAGGACTTCCCATTTTCCCACCTTCTCTTTCACTTTTTGCTTAGTCATGTTGGAAAGTGCTTCCACATGAGACGGTGCCTATCTGTCCAGCAGACAGGCAGGCACCGCTCACTGCAGTCTTTGCGTTGCTCTTTCCTTTGCTATTTCTCTTTTCCTGCATCTTGATGGCCTTTTCATTTGTATTTTCTCAGCTCGGTGGAGCTTGGCCTTCAGGCCGATCACTTATTTTATTTTTGGCCTTCTTTAATGTTCCAGAGCCTCTTGACTCTCCTTTCTCTTTTTTCATGGCAACCCAAACAATACCCATACCATTTGCAGTGTAATTCAATATGTTCATTTTGTGGCATGGTGACAGCTGTAGAGGGCCAGGGGCAGCCTCAGGCATGTGAAGAAAAGTCTTCACACACACACACACACACACACACACACACACACACACACACAAATGAGCTGCCTCCACACTAAACCACTTTATTTTGAAATAAATTTATTTTTTAGCATAGTTTTAGGCTTTATGAGGGCACCGGCACAGCAGCCAGTTTCCACAACAAGCAGCCTGCCGTTCACGTGGTGTACACCTTACAATTCACAACTAGCTCCTGATGAACTCCATTCTGATCCGAAGTTCTTTTGTCTTTGCCTGGTGTCCTCTATCTCTTGTAGGTCGCCATCCAGGACTCCACATCTCATGCCTTTGCTGTGACAGTTTCTTTCCTTGTTTTGGCAACCTTAACAAGCTGAGGGGCTCTGAACAATTGGTCCGTGGGATGGTTCTCAGTAGGAATTTGTCAGATGTTTTTGTCCTGAGTTAAGGTTTTTGAAGATCAGAGTATCACTTTCATACTGTTGTATCCAGAGGCTGGACTATCAGCACAACTTGTCACAGCTGATTTCGGCCTTGATCACCTGGCTGAGACAGTGCTGGGTTTCTGTACTATAAAGCTGCCCTCTCCCCTGCCCTTCCATATTGCCTATCTTGGAAGAAAGTCATTTGTGCAGGCTGCATTTCAAGAGGAGGCGTCTCCGACTGGCCAAGAATCTACTTAGGTTTCTTGGAGTTCTGTGGGGGAGATGATCTTCTCTGTCTACTTATTTGTTCAGTTACTTCTTTGTCACTATTGCCTCAAGGGTATTTACTTTGTGCCTCTGGCTATAACCCAGTATTGCCTGAACTGCTCAAACTTTCCACTTCCAGCCACTGGGAGATGGTTCCCTGACACTAGATCCGTGGCACACTCCCCGCACTGTGGCTTGGGCGCCGTTTAGCCCTTCTGTATTTCTGGCTGCCCAAGCCTATCTCTATCTCCTGTTCCAGCTTCAGAATCAGATACTTCTCCAAAGGGCTTTGACTCCTTCTTGGGAAAAGGGGTTTGTAACCATGATCTGAGGGCAGCTCCTGGGATACCATTGCTTTCAGGTCTCTCCAATGACACGGCAAGGAAGTGTGTGTGTGGATCCGAACCTGTGGACGCACCGTCTACATATTTGTGCGTGCTAAAGCCAAGTTCAATGCCGAGTTCCAACGCTTTCCTGGGACCCCTGGATCCTTCTCGCCTCTGCCTTTATCTGGAACTCCTACTCTACCAGTGAGAAATCTGGCTCTCACCACCTGCTAGCAGCGTTTTTACTTGTTCAGTTCAGTACACACGAGCAGCAGCATTGTAGCCGCTACTCCTTTCTCCCGTGAGAAATGTGATCAGCTGGACAGCGCTGCACGCGCTTTCCTTGCCCTCCTCCTTGAAGACTCCACGCCTTTCTGGAGCTGCTGAGGTTGGCTCCTGGTTCTTCTACCTCCTCTGCCTGCCAGGGTGTTTCATGCATGTGTCACATGGATTGACTGTGCTGTTACATGCCGCATTCCATCCAGGGACGCCCCAGCTCCCAAACAATGTTTTAATTTGGATTCGGTGAGTTGCAAAGCTCTATGGGATCTGACAAATTCCCATGGTCCTAGCTCTGCCATTATCTTATTAATCAGACTAGTGTGACACCCCCATGGCTTACCAATCCGATTCAACCCTCCCATCCTCCTCCAACTTGCCCCCTGCCCTCCGACAACCACTGACTGTCTCAAGGTCCCCTGGGAAGTGACATTCAAGGAGGAGTAGGGCACAGGGCCGGGCGGGCACGGAGAACCATGACCGAAGGCTGCGTTCACAAGTGACAGCAGCTTCCAGAACTGGGAAAAAAATTGCTTTCCTGGGAGTTTGTTTCTAGAGCAGGCGACACAGTCATAACACATTTGGCCTGTAATATTTGAAAAGTGCTTTGCCAAGAAAGCCAAATTTAAAGTGGAAGGAATGACAAAATTGCTCTTGGCAACAGGACAGCTCTGAGTAGCCCTTCCCTTGTTTCCCTGAACTCTCTAGGGACACAGGAAGTGGCTCTGTGGATCAGCCACCACGGACTGCACATGGAGGCTGGCTGGGTGGCACAACCCAACTATAAGGACATCAACTGGTGGCGCTTGACAGACTTAGCCACTTCACTTTCCCGTCATAAGATCCTACTTTTTTGGAACTATCTCTCAACAATCATCTAAGAAAGGTTCCCTTGGCACTGGCCCACACCCTCCCCCTCCAGGCACAGAGAACAGCTAACAGGTAGATTTCTTGTCCATTTCTTTAGTCAAGGTATGAGCTTAGATCTAAAATGTCACCCAAAAGTCACGTGCTCAGAGGTGGAGTTGAGCGAGTTCCTAGCTGAACGTGGTTAGCAGGTGGCCAGGGGTCCCGGGATGTGGCCAGGGGTCCTGGGATGCGACCCGGAAGGGTGTGTTCTAGCCATGGCTCCTTCCTGCGTGGCAGCCTCCACTCTGCCCTCCCGCCACATCTCTGCCTGGGAGACGGCCACCTGCAGACAGAAGCCCTGAATCGTGAGCCAAGTCAAACCTTTCATCTTTAAGAGTGAGCTATTTCGTTCCAGTGACAGCAAAGGCACTAACACTGTGTTCCTGCAGGGGAAAAAGGCACACTCCGGACTTAAGAACCAAGTGTCATCACTTGCATCCAGCACCCACACCCAGGGAAGATAAACACTGTTATAACACTGTTATAAAATAACCTGTGGACACCAGCAGGTGAGGCTCCAAAGCACAAGCCTGCTTAGAATGGAGACCCCAGGGGCTTCCTCTAACCCCATCATGCGGCTGGTCAGCTGCCTAGATCCTCCACGCAGTGCGGGAAGACAGAGCTCGTTAGCCAAGGCTGCAGGCAGCGGAGCGCTCGCCGCATCCGGCTAAGAGCACTCTCCGCGGGGTCAGGATCACATGTTGGCTGCCACACTGAGATCAGAGGCACAGCGGACGGACGCTCAGAGCACGGGCCTGCGGCTCAGGCTCCGCGCTGGAGCCAGGCCTGCTGCTCTCCAACAGAGGCCGCCGCCTGCATTCAGACACAGCTCCACCCCTCAGCGTGCTTCGGCTCTCAGGAAACCTCCCACCCTTGTCCCCCCATTTCACTAAGCTGTCAGTGAGCAGCAGAAGAGCGAAGGAGGCAGATCTCCCGCGAAGCCCTGGAGCCAGGGACAGCATGCAGCAAGCTTCTTTGAACCCTGCAATTAAAATTTCATGAACAGCCTTCAAGGTAAAGCCATTATGGGAAATGTTATAACACTGCTGGCTGTTACGACAGAAAATAAGATAGAAATTTCCGAGAGATAAAATGGGTGATAGCTGCTTGTCATTCTGTGAATTAGGGCAAAAAATATTTCACAGGGTCATCGGAGCATATTTTGTGCTGATTCTTGCTAGATCTGAATCACTCCACACACCCTGGCAAGTACCTCCTGTTCCGCTGCTCGCAGTATCAGCTTCACAAGAGGCAGTAAAGGCCTACAGTGTTCTGGCTCACAGAGCAGCGGAAGGCTTCTTACTTATTAAATGAGATACTTTACGTGTATGTTTGTATTTCAATTCCAAAAGGAGAATTAAAGTGGTCATTTATAAAGTCAAAATGAACTGATGTCTTAATGTTACCTTAAACATGGAAATACACTTAAAAAAGAAAAAGGGCAATAAATTAAAATGTCAATTATGGCCTTGATGAGACAGGGTTTTTTCCCACCACAAAAATTATCCATTTCTTCTAAGCTATAATACTAACATGTTTTCCCCACAGAGCACTCTTATAAGTTGAGTTGATTCTGCTAAATTTATAAAATAAAAAAATTAACTATAACGCTTTGTTCACAATTTTCTCAATATTCAATTTTCTAAAACTCCCCATTTCTTTCTACACAGTAAATCTCAAAACATAAGTTTTACCATTTACTTAAAACATAAATAGGAAAATATAGACATTTGCCATATCAATAAATGGTTTAGACTTTTTTTTAAAAGAAATGTTATTTAAAAAGAGAGTTCCAAGAAATTTAATACAATTCTGAGTAATGATTGTTTTGGAAATGGATGAGGTGTGATGCACAATTATAAAGAGGCTAAAATCCAAAAGGATTCGTTCTTGGTTTTTCTTTTTAAAAAAATCAGATGGCCTGTCACATCAAGAAAGTGCGCAGAGTTGCAGCAAGTGCAGCCTTAGTCCCCCTCAGAGTCACTGTCCCTCCTCCGCATAGGGACGGAGCCGCGCACAGAGGACAGCAGCACATCTTCAACAGACTTCTTGGGGTTCTCTTCCAGGTCTGTCTTGATCGCTCCAGATTCGGACAGTTTCCACTCTAACTCTGCAAGAAGGAAAGGGCAAATCACGCACGGCACGGCACTGCACGGCACCAGCACTGGGCCTGAGCTCACACCCTCAAGCCGTGTGCACATACACACACAGGAGAAAATGGAAAACATGATCATCAAGTTCTGGCAACAATCTTAGGGCCATAATTTTACAGTGCTGAAAGAGAGGCAAAAAATTGGGCCTCTAAAAAGGAAAATTTAAAAACCTTTCTCTTAGGATTGGGGAGATAGCCCAGCAGCATAAGCGCCTGTCTGCCAAGCACAAGGTCCCAAGTTAGATCCCTGGCGCACACACACACACACACATAAAAAACTTTCTCTTTTGTCAGATGAGATATAACACAAACTTGAAGCTATAGCTCAGTGGATCAGAGTGCCTGCTTAGGCAGACATGGCAGCCAGGGTTTGATCCCTGGCTTGCAGTGCCGGCCCCGCCCCTAGCGCGTGCTGAGCTGGCAACTGAGCCTGGGCATGGTGGCACGTGCCTGTAATCCCAGCTCTCAGGAGGCTGAACACAGGCGGATCACCACAAAATGATCTCTACAGTGAGACCCTGTACACCTTGTGCTACAATACAAAAAAAACCCTACAGTAAGATACAAAGGATAAGCCTCTCCTGTAGCTACTGTAGCTTTCTAGCCTGGACAATTCACTAGGGAAAAAACAGGCAAGAAACATTTAGAGGAAAGACTCTCCCCAGGTCACAGGGTAACTTCATTACCAATGTAAGTTTAACTGAAGGCAAATTTCAGCCTCGTGTCTAATAGCTCATCTACTATGGTCAAAAGATAACTTGATGACACCCTAGAGCTGATATATTTGTTCCAAGTTATACCAAATAATTAAACATAAAGGACAGGAAACTAAGCAATCGGAGACCACAAAGTTCCTACATTTTACCCTCTTATAAAATCAGTGAAACTGCCCACAGGGTAGCCCTTGTGAAGTAAGTCAGGGAATGCATTCTTCATCAAAGAACCCAGGTGCTACCCAACGATGTCCAAGAGATTCTAAAGCTGAAAGCCCGGATCACAGACAGGTCAACGCCAAGTGTGCACTTCCACTCCACGCTGCCACGCTTCCTGAGGTCCGACCACCGTGCTCCACGGGGCAGCGAGAAGAACAGAGTACCAGGGCTGGGGTTAGACGGGGAAATGCTGGTCAAAGGGCACAACGTTTCAGTTATAAAATGAGTAAGTTCTGGGGTTTAATATACAGCACGGTGATCATCATTAACAATAATGCATTAAATGCTAGAAGTCTGCTTATGGCATAATAGTAAGTATTTTCACCAAAGGAAAAAGGAGAGAACTATACAAGGTGATAGAGGCGTGATCAGTTTGACTGTGCTGACCACTCCATGCTGCGCTTCTAAGCCACACCACCATGCTGTACACCTTAAACACATCCATTCCTTTTGTGTCAATTCCATCTCAGTGGTGCTGGGGGCTGCTCCATGGGATGGTTATGACCCTAGGGTTTTAGCTCTAGGTACACGGGCTGGATGTTGTGAAAAAGCAACAGATTTCAGTTAAAAAGTTAAGATTAATGATTCCATTTCAAAAGTACATTTACATATCCATACATACATGTAGAAGCATGTACATATAAGTTTACTAATCCTCAAGACTTTCTAGGAATAGACTAGATGTAACAGGACACAGCTATCAGACATCTGCTGCCGATGCAGTGAAGTTGGGGGCAGGGCCTTTAGAAGGATCCACATAGGTCCCCCAAGACTGGTCCTTGTGGGAACGGGTAGCTTTTAAAGAGTGGGGGTTACTGGGGCCGGGGAGATGGCTCAGTGGAGTAAGCGCTTCCCTGGCAAGCACAAGGGCCTGAGTTCAATCCCTGGTTCTGCCAAAAAAAAGCGGAGCTATAGAGCGGGCCTGGCAGCTCTCGGTCTCTCCTTGCACAAGTGCCTGTGTCCCCTCTACACGGAAGAGACTGACACGGTCAGAGGCCTCACCAGAAGCTGGTGCCAGGCTATGGGAGCCAAGCAAGCATTTTTCCTTCATAACATTCAGCCCTCTGGTATTCTGCTCCAGCAACAGAAAAAGGATTGAGATTATACCTCATGATCTGATCAAAAAAGGTTGAAATAAGCTATCAATTACTTTGAAATACTATTTATATCTTTGAACAATGGAAGGGTTATTTTTTTTGGCTGGTTCAGGCTGCCTTAAGGGCAGGTCTGGTAAGGCATGAGGAGCTGGGGATCGAACTGCAGTACCCTGCGCCTGACTGCATTTGCATAAGCAGATGCTTAAATAACTGAGCTAACCAGCAGGCCCCCTGAACAATGGAATAATGCTTAACTTGTGTTTATATTTTCCCCAGGTGGGCATCTTAGTGGCAATGTTTAAAAATACATTTCGGAAGACTTGTGTAGCTGATATATGTGGTATTTTGACACCTCCCTATATAACAAGTAGAAGGGAACAAAAAGCAGCTTTCCACACTCAGGAGCAGAGTTAAGCATAATCAATGTAAAAGAAGCTAAGGAGCTCCACGGAGACACACATACATATAAGCCAGTGTCCCCGAGAGGACCCCAACTATGAAAATGAATGAAAAAATGAAGGCAATGATCCTGAGCTGCAACTTAAACAAGACATAACGAATCATCTGCGAAGAGGTTCAGTGTGCCTCCTCCCATCCAGCCTACTCCACACGGACAAAGGTGGCTACGATGTGGCAGCACGGCCAGCCAGGGAGTTGGGAAGCAGGCTCCAGCCTCCCTTGCCCAGCCCCTAGAGCTGCTCACCATCTCTTGTCAGGTTCATGCCCCCGAACACCAGAGGACCGATGAACTGAGCCTTGATGTCACCTTCAAGGTAGACGAATACTGTGGGCAGGTTCCGATCGGGGTAGTTGGGTATGCAGGTTGTTGAAATGGCCTTGATAAATTTGACGTCAGGAAACTTCCTGGCCAATCCACTGAGGTGCTGATTGATCAGGGCACAGAGGGGAATCCTGCGGACACAGGAAGAGAGGCAGCTGTGAGCCTGCGTTTGTATAGCGCCAAGCCTGGCTGCCCTGCTACCCGCCGAGAGGCCTCCTGACTGCTGCTCGAGCCGTGTGGCCTTGTGCAGGGACAGCGAGAGGCAAGCGGCCAAACTGCAGCCCCAAACCCACTTGCTCATCACAAAACGCCAGTGCTGCAAGTCAACCTGAATAGTGAAGGTTTAGCATAAACAAAAAACAACTCATGTATTAACACCTTTCATCTTAGAAAATGTTCAGGGAATGTGAAGATCTCAAAATATAAAATCCAATTTAAGCGAACCCAAGAGTAAGTCCAAAGGACAGCTTCAACGGAAAAGGTGACACCTGGTTACCGCCTTCTGCCTGGTGAACGAGAATGCTGAAGAGGCAGAGCTGAGAAACAGGCCAGAAGGTATCTTCTTTTTCACTTGCTCCTCCACAGCACTGGGTACCACAACTTAAGAACAGCACGACCTGATGGGCACACAGGACCCCCGGAGCATTCGGGAGCACAGCACCACTACGTTCACTGTAGGCCAGCCAAGCAGCATGAGGCACAGGTGAGTCTGAAATGCTAGCGTCCCTTGCCGATGTGTACCACCTGTGGCTTACTAGCTGTTTTAATGTTGTAATAAATATAACTCAAAAAAGGAATGAGTTACTTATATATATTAACTACATTATATATTTTATAAGTGGCCAGGACACTTCTTCGTCACTCAGTGTGGCCCTGACAAGCTGAAAGGTTGGTCATGGCTATGAGAGAGATGAGTGACTCAGAATTTTTAGCCAGATAGAATTAAGTTTTACCTTCTGCTTTTACGAAGTATCTGTATTACTACTCACAGATGTGTCTGCAAGTCTTAAGATGAAATTAGGCCTAACAGCTTGGGCAAACTGGCGACAAAGTACAGAGCAATAGTCACGCAAGTGAAAGAAAAAGCAGCCCTCTGGAAAGGGTCACGCTTGAGATAGGTTCAAGACATAAATTCACGCAAGCTTCTTGTAGACTGGGCGGAAGAGGAGCTCACCCTTGCTTGTAAAGGTGCAAGACCACCCACAAGCCCTCACCGGCTTTGGTAACTTCCTGAACATAGTCCTTTCCGGAGATCTCCAAAACTTCTCCAAATTTATTCTTCAATTGAGCTGCTTTCCACTCAGCCAGCCTTTGCTGCCTGCATGAGGGGAGGAAAGAAACACCTTACACACAGATGCCCGACAGGCCATCACATGCGCGCACGCACGCACGCGCACGCACGCACACACGCACGCACACGTTCGTCCCCCGGAAGGCAACGCCTGTTCGTCTCCTTGCCTTATTTATCTTCCTCATGGCAAGAGCCTAAGGCCACTCCACTGAAGTGTGCAGGATTACTGCTCAGCAGTGGTCCTTTCCAAAGCTGACTGAGTCAAAATTTCTCAGGACACACACTATATTACCCTGCCAAACCCCGAAACGTCCCTGGACGTGACACGAACCTGTACATCTCAACAGCCCGTTCATCTTCCTCATTGAATTCGTCTTCATTATCCTCTAGCTCCTCCAACGTCATATCTTCATATGTTTTCACTAAATACAGTTAAAGCGGCAAAAGGAAAAAATTTAAAAGCTTAATAAACAAGTATTTCAAGTCTTCTTTTTCTCGCCTAAAGATGCATACAGGACACAAAGACAAACATTAAGGGATCGCACTAGCAATAAAAAGCGAAGGATTTAAAGAGTTCTACGATGGCATCTGCGAGCCTGCCAGCTCATCTCTACACAGTAATAAGTGCATGAAAAGAACTCTTCCAGGTTTATAAAGTAAGTTGTAAGGCTGATCAAAAAATATACATAAAAAAATCATTATTAAGGTAAAAGGCACATTGTCATTCATCACCCTCAAAATACTCCCTCTTTTTGAATACATTTATCCCATCATTCCTGCCGCTTACTAAAGCAGTTCTGAAAAGTCCTCTTTTTTGCATGCGGTGTGACAAAAAAAATATGGTGACTGCTGCCACCAAGTGCCTTCCAAGGGAAAGGGAGGCTTGTAAAAATCAGCATGTCCTCATCCACCTTACTCATCAGACCGAGCACTGGAGACTTCTGGCTCTTCCCCAAAGTCAAAATGACCATGAAAGGCAAACGCTTTGAGTCCGTTCCGGACATTCAGGCAGCCATAACTGCAAGTGAAGACACCCAGGAAAGAGGCTTCGGAACTGCTGCAGGAAATGGCAGGAACCGAGGGATGCACGGTTCAAAGAGAGAGCGGGGACTTGGCAACACGTCTTTACTGGAGTAAATTACAACACAAACACTGTCCTTGGCAATCACACCTGCCGCACTTGCCTGGGCTCTCCAGATCTGAGGGGGTGCACATGCTCGAGGGTGGGCGCCAAGAGCTCTGCATCCACAGAGATCTGGTGTGAGGGCGCTCCCCCAGCACACGGCTCCTGACGTGGCCCTCACCCTGCCCCATCTTTTCTTGCGAGTGGCGGTAGCTCCACCTTCTTGCCCCCCACTGCTGTGAAATCTGTGCCCTGTTTTCACTGCTACAAAAACTCCTGCTTCTCGACAGCAAGTCACGCTGAGCTCTGCCCCTCTTTACTCTTACCAACCTCAAAACGACCCTCATTTTTGGATGCTGGGTGGCCCCTGGCCCAAGAGCTGCCTCCTGTGTAAAGACACTTCTCCTCTGGCTTCCAGATGCCCCTTCTCCCTACCCCGTCCCTATGTGCCACCTTTTGAGCCTCTTCTGACAAAAATCCCCCAGGCCTTGGTTCCTCTGTTTCTGTTTTCTTTAGACAGGATCTCTCTATGGAGTCCAGACGAGCCCTGCACTCCCTGTGTAGCTCAGGCTGCCGGTGGACTCACACCCTGCCTCAGCTTCCTGGGTGCTAGGATTACGGTGTGCACTGCCATGCCCAGTAAGCCCCAGTCCTTTGAGTCCTTTCCTCTTTACCTGTGTCTTCTCCCTTGGTGACTGGATTGAGTCCCCTAGCTTTAAGTACAGGACCTACACTGACAACTGCCAAGTTCTGCTGACTTCTCTTAACTGGAGAAAAAGACTCGGTGCCTGCTCAGCATCTCCTCCTACCTAGCAAGAATAAAGGGGACAGGTTCCGGGTAGGGTGACAGCTACCCGCAAAGCTGCTCCCCTCCCAGGGCAGGCGGTCATCCTTGTCCCAGCTCTCACCGCACAGCTCCCCAGCACATCCACAGGCCCCAATGTGAGTCCTCCTGCGCCAGGCTGGCCCATGCCAAGGTTGCCCCCGCCGTAAGTGCCAAGGCTCAGAGACTCCTTCTGCCACAGCAGCTAGAGGTTCAGAAAGCCATTTCCAGATGCAAACAGCCACAGAGCAAGGAGTGCGCAAGCTCACCAACTGACTGCTGCAGGGTCTTCTGCTCCTCCTCTTCCGCCTCCTTCTCCAGTTCTTTCAGGCTTTCCTTGGAGGGCAGGATGCCCTTTTTGCGTAAGATGTCATTCCACTCAGTGTCTTCATTGGGGTCCTTGAGTAGCAGGGGTGAGGACGCTGTGAGTACCAAGTCAAAAGGCCCCACCCCGTTCTGTTCTTCCTCCCTCCCAAGGCAGCAGCTAGGCTTGGGGTAAAAACCAGGGTATGACATACAGATCAGCATCGATGTAGAAACCAGGTTCTGACTTGGCTGCTGAGCATCGCACTTATGAATAACTTAGAGCGATTCGTTCAACAGGTATTTAAGTACCTACTATTTTCCATTAGGCAAAATGGGACCATGGTGAGCTTCCATCACCCAGTACAGAGAGGAAGGGAGGCAGTGAACAATATAATATTAGTATAAACTGTATTATCTACCTAAAGACCAACTGTAGCTGGTCTAGAGTTAGAGGGGACCAGCATTTCATGAGTGGACAGCCACGTTCTCTAGAGGAGATGACACTAACCATCACCTTAGGGTAGGGAAGAGCCAACCACGTGACAGTGGCGATTTAGGAAATACCTTTCAGGCAGAGGGACCAGCAGAAGTGAAAGATCCCAAAAGAAATAGGCTGTCACTGACTGAGCATCTCAAAGCCCTGGGTGCAGCTTTTAAGAGCTAATGTTTATAACAGAAAGAGGCGGTGGGGGACTCTAAACGCTTCGCCTGTGCTCACTCGATCCTCGGAAGCTGAGGTGAGGCACGGAGTTTAGGAGCGCACTGCCATGCCAAAAGGGGCCAAATCGACCAGAGCCAATGTCACAAACACATGTCAAAGGGGGCTCTAGGCCCAGAACCCAGTAGTGCGAGCATGGGTGTGCACGGCTTGGCAGGAGCTCGACCGGTGGAGCTCAACCTCGGCCAGGAACATGAGCTCAGGGAGCTCCGAGGAAAGGATGGGGGGCAGCCAGGCCCAGCCACACCTTGACCCAGGCCTCCTGAGATGTAAGGAAAGAAAAGCCAGCAGATTCCTTCCAGCCGGTGGTCGCAGGGAGGGGCTGTGCAAGGGGAATGGGGCGGCCCTGGGCCTGCAGTCCAGTGAAGGGCATGGCCAGTCCTTGTAACTGCACAGGATCCCTGCCCCCCTACCAAGGCCACACCATCTCCACTGCCCATCTGACTCAGGGTGGAGGCCACGGGTTCAAAGCTCCGGACCGAGGTCAGGGTCAATAGGCAGCAACAAAATCTGGTTGTCACTGATGTTTGTTCAAAAGGCCATTTCTATGGAGTTTTCTTTCATTTTCTTTAGACTTCTGCAAATCTCCCTTAGTAAGGGTCCAAGAAGGGAAGGGGAGGAAGAGAGACTGAGAACATACCTAGGAGATTCTAACTGCATTTATTTTAAGAAATTAACGCTGAGCAGAGGGATTGTGAGGCCGAGCTCTGCAACCCAGGGAGCCCGAAAAGGAGGCACCCAGGGTGAGCACCAGAGCTGGGGACGGTGGGCCACCAAGGCGTCCGCAGGTCCGAGACGCCAGGCGCAGGCTTCGCCCGGGCTCCAGGGGCGGGGCCGCACACTCCCAGCCTCAGCGTCCTCACTGACCGGCCCAGGGGCTCATTAAGGAACTTAGTAAGCGGTAAGCGATCTGCCAAGTCCTTCAGGGGGCTCAGAGGTGACCCACCCCGAGCAAGGCCAGTCCCCCTGAACCCAGAGTGGGGCAGCACAGACGCCCTGCACGTCGGGGGCGGGGGGAACGCGCCCGCCCTCCCGCACTGCGCCTGCGCGGGCCTCCACTCGCGTGGCCTCTGAACTACAGCGGCCCGCAACTCTCGGAGGCCCAGCACCCGCGGCCGGAGCAAACCCACCAGGTCCAAAGAGCGGCCGCGCCTTCGGCCCCCGCGACCCTGCCTCACTCACCTGCATCTTGGCCTCAGGTAGCTCGAGCCTGACCCACCTAGGAACTCAGCCCCTTTGGCGTAGGCGCGCGTAGCCCAAGCTCCGCCTCTTCCTCCAAGCTCCGCCCCTTCCCCAACTTGCCCTTCGCCCCGCCCACAAACACTAACTGGGCGGAGCCAGGCGGAAGCCATGGCCTCTGCGCATGCGCAAGCTTTTCCACGCGGGGCGCTGACGTCTTACGCATATGCGCGAGGCTGGTTGCTTCCGGCGGCCGCGGACTTCTCCGCGCCGAGCCAGGTCCCAGCGCGGCCTTATTTGGGCACCGCCGCGGCTGGGGCGTGGCGGGGCTGCCGAGGGCGGTGCCCGATAGTGACGCGACTTCTCCAGCCGACAGCCGGAACCATGGGGACGTCTCGCCCCGCCTGAAGTAGAAGTGAGAAAGTGTTTCGGCCCTGCGACGCTAAGATTTGAAAAGATCGGGAGTCACCTGGACTTCCAACCACCGCCGTGTCACCGTCGGTGTGACAGCTCGTTCCCCAGATTTTCCGGGGGTAGCTCAGTGCTTGGGTGCTCGCCCACGGACAAACCCCAGCACAGCCAGCAAAGCAACGCCACGGGAGAAAGCCCTGTCACCTTAAGCCTGTGCAGACTCACGCGCGCACTAGATCCGCGGCCCTGAGCAGGAATCCGCACTTTGACTTACAGCGCAGCTGCCAGGCCCCCTCGGGATTGGAGCTGAGCAGCGGGTCTGGCCGGCAGAGAAGGCCGCGGGGTGCTTGGGCCGGTTCGCTGTCTGCAGGCAGTAAAGCAGGCCCTGGCCCTAGAGGCCGCACCCCTGCGGGGAGCAAGAATTCAGAGGGACAGGGAGGAGTTAGCCCTCCAGATAGTAAGACAGTGTGGTGTATTGATGTAGGAATAGACAGAAGGGTCAGAGAACAGTGCAGCAGGCTCAGAGCAACTCCAGAACCGGAGCCCACACACAGAAGCATTAGGATCAAATTAGCTCCCCGGGTGGCCTTGCACTGAGCGGTGAAGAGCACTTAATGGAAATAGCGAAAATTGGGACATACTTCACTTTATGAAGAATTTATACTATGGTTTTTGTTTTTTGTGAGACAGGATCTTGCTGTGTAGTTCAGACAGGCCTTGAACTCAGTATGTAGCCAGCTGGTCTTGAACCGGTGGCGATCCACCTGCCTCAGCCTCTCAACTGATGGGATTATTACAAGTGTATGCCAGTACAGCCAGGTGTACGTCAAAGCTTAAAAAGAGAACTAAAAGTGCTAGAAAATACGGGTGATTTTTAAACTTTAAAAATGGAAAAAGACTTAAGTGACTGTTATTCACAACCAAAAGGCAAATTTTAAAAAGTAATAGGCTCAGCTACTTTTTGGAATAAGAATAATGCTTCAAAGCACGGGGCCTTTGGCATAAAATAAAAAGTTAAATAAAATATATGCGTCTATTGTATGCTTAATTTTGCAAGAAGAATCACAGAAAAAAAAGGAAACAAATGGAGAAGATAAAGGGGTAGAGGCAGGGTGGAAATGAGAGTCCTCTATTAAATTCTGTTTAGTAGTGAAGAAAATTTTGTGGGGGCCTGAAGCAAATTCAGTCTTGAAGATCTTTAAGAAAAGAACGCAAAATCATGCATTTAAAATTAGGCAAGATTGTTTAAACTGAAAGTTACAAATTTCTGATCTGTAAAAGCGGACAAATTCTACAGATACCACACACCCAGAAAAATACAATCCTTTTCTTAATTGTCTAACCTGTTTCCACAGACTAACCCTTGCTAGTACAAGTCAAGCCCTGTTTCTTCTAAAACTATTCAAATGCCTCTGCCACACACAGCCCTACCATGACTTTCCTACGACCTTGTGCTCTCAGTCCCTGCAAATACAGTCAGATCCCTGTGCCAGGGTGGATTGCAGCACCCCTGCCAGTCATTGCTGACCAGAGATGACCAGAGGTTGCCACACCCAGAAACAAGTCCAAGCCACATAGATATGTCAGTAAACACACCCTCAGCCTTAGCTTTCCCTTAGTGGTAGTGGGTTTTGTTTTCATTGTAGACCACTTTAGTGTGGAACTTTATTCCCACTAATTAACATATTTTTTGTGCAAGGTTTTGGGATGGCTTTTACCAGATTTTGTTTCTGACTCCTTGCGGATGGATGCCTCTAACAAAGTCAATTTGCTTGATAGTTTTGCACACGTTTGCTCCTGGCAGAGATGGAAGACTTGGGCTTGGCCTGCCGGCCCTTCCTATCAGTGCCCACTTTCTACGACTTCCCTTTCTCCCTTCTGGGTTAGCTGTTCATGACCCCTTATAAATGATGAATGGATTAATAAAACAGAACGACAAAGGCTCAGTTTATGCACAGTGTGTAGGTTTCTTAACAGGCAAGTAGTAGAAACTGCTCAGCATTTAGCTCAAGCACCTGTGGAAATGTGGCTCAGACATGCCTCACCAGGACTCTCCCGTGATGCGTGACTATGCAGGACATTATTGTTTCTTTATACTAGCAATTTTCTAGGCAAAATGCCTCGCGTTAATGACTCCTGCACAAATTGCCGGGAAACTGCTGCAGCTGGCATTAAAACTTAGTGACTGTGAGTCTTTGCATTACAGAATCCTGTGTAGAAAAATGATGCCATTAGCCCAGGTCCCTTCTCTTGGGGAAACAGACTGCAAATCCACTTAGCAAGCTCATCTCAAACTGTCATAAGACAGAAAGCCCATATGTGAAGATGCAGCGGAGTGGCAGCGGTTAAAAGAGCAGTTATAATTTGTGCTCTTTAAATGGGCCATCAGTAAATGCGAGGCTCCACAGCTACTGCCAAGGAAACCAGAATTCATATTCCAGATGTGTGTGTGGTTGCTCCTAAGGCACCATCATCACAAGATTTGTTTGCGTTTTTTCAGTTAGTGAAAAACTGGGTCCCTCTGCCCTGGTTTTCTTCTCAGTGCCTCCTGCCGCTGGTTTACTTGTCCTTAAACAAATGCAATGAAATGAGACAAAAGTGTGCTGGGGTATGATTAGAGATGATTGTAGTGCTGTTGGCTTCTCCCTGCTTTGAGAGCAGCTGGAAGTTGGTCCCTAAGAGGTGGGCAGGTGAGGACGGGAGGCGCAGGTGATGTCTGGCGTGAAAACATCTGGGAGCTTTGGAGACTTGAACGCCATTGAACCCTCCGTGGGAGGCACATACTGGGAAAGAAAGTCTGCTAAACAGTGATTGGGGAGAGGCTTCTTTCCTAGCAGGCTACCTGGGGATTGGAAGTCGGCAATCACTTCCTAGGAAAGCAATCAAAATGGAAAGATGGGGCACACTTGATCTCATTGATGGCTTACTAGTTAAGGTTTTCTAGACGTTGCAGGGAGTGGATCACAGAATATCACAATTACTTGGAAATAGTGAATTATGCAGATTTTTGGATCCAACTCCCAGAGCCAATGGGTTGTGCAGGTGTGGTGTGGCGCTCATCCCCTACCCCTTGGCTAGCTGTCTGGTGGTTCCAGCAGTGGTGGCCTTCAGGCCACATTTGGATTCACTGGAATTCTGTATCATCTTTAAAGATGGTCATGGAGACTCCTGTAAGCATTTGGCATGACAGTATATAATTTCAAGTAGAAAAAAAAGCAGGTATAATTAGGACATACAGTTGGCCTTACATGAACCAATCATGGATTAAAAATATTCAAGGAAAAGCCTGGACCTGTGCTGAGCATGTACCTTTCAGCGTCCCTACTGCTTGTCCCCTGAACCAAACCGTCATCTCATTCCTACATTCCTGCACAGCTCCAGCCTGAGGAACTGCTGCAGCAGCCATGTTCTGAGCACTCGGTGAAAATGCGATCTTTCTCCTGTGTGAACCTGCCAGTGGCTTCTCACTGGCTCTGTGTGGGCCCCGCTTACTGACAACCCTCTAGGGCCCTGTGGTGGCAGCCCTTGACTCTGTCATCATCGCGTCTGGGGCATCCTCCGTGCTACGCTCCGGCCACCTTGTCCGTCTCTTCACAGTGCTTCCTGAGTGGAGGACCCGCTTTTGCTCCAGAGCACTGTACACGTAGCTCCCAGAATGCTCCGCCTTTCAGCCCTAGGGTGACCATCGTGTCTCCTGTGTGTTTCCACTCTGCCAGATCTCAAGCCCCTCATTAACTCACACGAGGAGTGCCCTTCCTCCTACTCTGAAATAAAGTTGATACAATAGATGAAATCACAAATAGCATGATTTTCAATAATGTAAGGACTTACCTACAAAAAAGGATAATATATTTTAAACATGAAAATTCTCCAGTGCAACTACATGAGCAAACATAGCCAAGTAGTTAGGAGATGACACAGATTTGTAATGAAAAAAAATTTTCCTTTATTTCTGACCTTTTGACATGAGAGCTAACAAAGCATATTTGACTAAAAATAGGTGAAATTACTGTGAGTTCAACTGATATTAATGTGGACTAATCCCAAGTGTTGCCTTGGTAACTGAAATATCACAGGCAGAGTGACTTGGTTTCTGAAATAGTGAAAAACTTGGTAAATTTCCAAACCAAGTACAATTCCTCCTCAATGTAAAAGAAAGCTATTTTCCCTGGAAATTTTGCATATTTCTAGAAAAATTCTGTTCAAACTGAACAAAAATTTATGCTTAAATATAAGCAGGTTTTACAGCTTTGTGCAAGTTCAGGACTTTTCTAGGACATGTGGCATTCTGGCCTGTGCCCGTGAATGCTAGCATTACTCCATCTCTGCCCAGTCACCGTAGCAACCAATAAGCCCTTAGTGGCTTCCAAGTTGTCTCTTCACTGTCCTTTGCTCTTGGGGAAAATCATTGCCTTTACCTCAACTTTATCAGCTGATGTGCTTAAGGTCACTTATTCATTGATCCTAACATCAGTGAAAAGAATATGTCTTAAAATGTAAAACAATGCTGAAAAAGGTATGGTATCTTCCAAAGCACAGATCCTTACCTTGTTGGTATAGTCTTCTCCCCGCAGAACTGCTCATGAGCCCTTTTATACTACACATGGAGACGCAGCTTTGTGCAGAGCCAACGCTATACACCTACTTCACAGCTTGTGCATAAAAATTAGTATGAGAAAAA